TTTTCAAAGATCTGACAGCCTTTCCCTAAAGCTGTTTGCAACTAACTCTGTTCTGCTCAATGTACAGCCTAAGTTCGCCACTTAAATGTCCATCTGAATGGGAGAATCCCAATCATGACTTGGGTGGTTTAGGAGCTTTGCATTGCTCCTAGCTTTATTACTTTATAGTTATGCAATAACAAAATGAGAATTTCCTAGTTTGCAAGGCAGTATCTTCAAAGTGAACATGAGAGTCTGTGGCACACCTGAACCGAAACCAAACAACCCATGTTGCTGCTATAGACACGAGTGTAAATAAACTGAAAGAACCTCAGGATTCTGATGGCCTTCATTTCTGAGACTCAGTGTCAATCTGTTTGTGCAAGTTATTGTTTTCTACAATCCACAAAGTCAGTAAATATGAGGCAGTTTGGGAGAGGCTACAAAAACAAAAGTAAGTCTGCTGGCTACCACAATGCCTTCAAAAATGTGACTTCCCCCAGGGCTGGCATTGTAGCCAGGGGGTTAATCTGCCACCTGCAATGCTGCCTTCCCATATAGGTGAAGGCTCAAGTCCCAGCTTCTTCACTTCTGATCCAGCTCCCTGCTAATACACATGGGAAAGCAGCACATGATGGTACAAGTTCTTGGGCCCCTGCCACTCACATAGGAGACTGGCTCCTGGCTTAGGCGTGGCCCAGCCCCAGCCATTGCAGCCATTGAAGAATGAACCAGTGGATGAGATCCCTCTCTCTCTCTCTCTCTTTCTCTCTCTCTCTCTCTCTCTCCCTCCCTCTTTTTGTAACTCTTTCAAATAAATACATAAACCTTAACAAAAAAAGTATGACTGTCCCCAATATTTCTCAAGCTCTTGACAGTGGCTTACACATCAGCATCTGTGCTGCTGCATCTCTTTGGAATTATAGGTTTTGGAATCCAAAGGACATATAAGCCATCTGTCTCTCTTTACTAATGAAGAGAGAGAGGCTATGCATGGTGCAATGGTTTGGCCCAAGTGGCATACGTGGCCATTGGTAGCAGAGTCTTCGTTAGAATTCCTGACAACTGGCTTCTGGGTCAATCCTCAAGACTAGATGTTGCTGTTCCCCTTCCTATTCCAAGTTCCTTCTCCAAAGTTACCATTGGTTTAGAGAAAGGAGCTGGAGAAGTAGCTAACTGGGAGAGTAATGCGTGTGCACACACGGATGTGCATTTGCATTTCAAATAACATCCCAGTGTATCAATAAATTGCCTTTACTTGCTTACTACATTGCTGTGCATTAAAAATTCATTTTTATGCATGCATTTGCATCACAAAAATCTCTTTTCATTTGCCATGCTGCCCTGACAATATTATGATGAGCTTTATTCTATGTGAAGCACTAAAAGTGACTTAATTTAATCAGCCGCCTAGGTTTTAGCGTGTACTCAATTTTATATGGTTTTAATGAAGATGCGTGTCTTCGTCCATTTTCCATGGCTATAGCAAAATACCTGACACTGGATAATTTATAAATAATAGAAGTTTATTTGGCTCATTAAGAACCACTATAATCCAAAAGCTGTACTTCTGAAATTTATATTTATTAAATAAAAGCTTTCTAAAAAAAATAGAAGTTTATTTGGTTTGTGGTTGTGAAGGCTACAAAGTCCAAGAGCATAGCCCTGGCATCTTGCGAGGGCTTCTCGCTGCAGCGTTACTTGGTGGAGGGCATCAATAGCAAAACAGCATAAGGAAGACACAGAGAACGCAACTTTACAACAAAGCCATACCCATAGTAACTCGATATCTAGTAACCCATTAATCTATGAATAGATTGATCCATGCATGAGGCCTCTGCAGAATCACTTCTCTTTTTTTAAATTTTTACTTGAAAGGTAGAGAGACAGAGGTCTTCCATCTGCTGGTTCACTCCTCAAATGCGCACAACAGCCAAATCTTGGCCAGGCCAAAGCCAGGAACGGGAAATTCCATCTGGGTCTCCCACTTGGGTGGCAAGGACTGAAGTACTTGAGCCATCATCATCCGTTGCCTCCCAAGAATGTTCAATAGCAGGAGCTGGAATCCATAGCTGAGCCAGAACTCAAACCAGGCATTCTGATATGGAAAGTAGGTGTCACAAAGTTAACCACTGGGCCCAATGCCAACCCCCTACCACCTCTTAAAGGTCCCACCTCCCTATACCCACCATCATGGTAATCAATTTCACCTTGAGTTTCAGAAGGGATGAACCATAGCAAAGTATAAGATTCAACATTTAACACCATCTCATCTTTGGAGTTTATTTAGGAAATGAAATATTGCTCTGTAGTTTCAGAAAAAAATTAATAAATTTCTCTAAATAGATGGTAATTTCAAGTTGGTTTTCAGAGAGATTTAGCTGCATTAGCAGCACTATTTTCCGATACCCATAATCTTCTAAATTGACTTATTTGATGCTCTTCACATCTATTTTTCTAAAGACTTAGATTCTGTCTGTGCCACTGCTTTTGAAATACTCTCCATGATTGTGACTCTATCTAATGCAATTTTTACATTTGCTGCCATTTTTCTCAAGTGACAATATAGGGCAGGAAGAACCATGTGGTACTGCTTCATACCAACTACGTGCTTTGATGCAAAATACAGAGGAAACGTAAGAGAACCGAGGAGGAGGAGCTGAAGGGTTCCAAGTAAGAAAACTTTGCACCATAGACAAACGGATGGAATCTAACGAGGGGAGCCAATAGGGAAATAAAAGCCAAATATCTCAGCAGAAATCAGAGCCTCTGGGTAGTAACTGAGGGACTCTGCTCTGGTCCCTTGCATACTTAGCCCAGGACTGGCCATCTTCTCAGCATATCGGTTAATTTTCTTTAAAAAAAATCTAATAAAAATAATAATGGCAAATATATTATGTTGTCATCAAAATCTCCAGCAGTGCCGCATTTTTATTTGACAGTACTTGAAAGAGCTCTGGGCAGACAGCAGCAGCGGCAAACAGATCTGCTCCCCAGCATTGAGATTGGGTTCACGGAGTGAGTCCCGGTTGCTCCACTCCTGATCCAGTTCCCTGCTGATATGTCTAGAAAGCAGCAGAGGACAGCCCTGCCACCCACATGGAAGACTCAGAGAAGTTCCAGGCTCTTGGCTTCAGCCTGGCCCAGCCCCAGCCATTGGCGGCCATTTGGGAAGTGAACCAACAGATGGAAGGGGTGTGTGTGTGTGTGTGTGTGTGTGCCCCTCTCTCTGGAACTCTGCCTTTCAAATGAATAATAAAAAAAAATTAAGTGTTCATTTCTACCAAGAGTGCTTTTCTTGTGTAGAGCCTAACTCTTCATGCTACAGTGGAAAGGGAGGAGACTGCATATATACGGAGATGTGAAGTCTCGGGTGATCACTGACGTCATAAATAAGAGTGTCAATTGTTAAATCAACAACAGGAGTCACTGTGTACTTGCTCCCCTTGTAGGATCTCTGTCCTTAATGTCTTGTACTATGAGAATTAACAGTAAGACAAGTCTTCAAATAGTGCTTTATACTTTATGTGTCTGTGTGGGTGCAAACTGTTGAAATCATAGAGTTGATCTTCTGTATATAAAGATAATTAAAAATGAATCTTAATGAAGAATGGGATGGGAGAGGGAGTAGGAGGTGGGATGGTTTGGGGGTGAGAGGGCGGGTATGGGGCGGGGGAAGAACCGCTATAATTCAAAAGTTGTACTTCTGAAATTTATATTTATTAAATAAAAGCTTTCTAAAAAATATGGAAGTGTGAGATGTGGTATAAATTCTCTCCCCTCCCCTCCCCTCCTCTCCCTTCTCCCTCTTCCCTCCCCTCCTCTCCTCTCCTGTCTCTTGCATACACTTAAGCCTCTGAGCAAAGGTCTCTTACCTCTTCTCCCAGTAAGGCAGATTCTGAACTTTGGAACTCAATGCAACCCACATCGCTGTAAATACTCTGGAACTCAACCGTATGCGAGTTGGTTGAAAACAAGCGTCTTTTTTTCCTTCCAGCAGAGCCTGCCCCACTGGCGTGAGCAGGGGAGCTGGCCCTCGGCGTCACAGCGCGGACCGTGGGCGCGCGTTTCCTGACAGGGCAACTTGGCTGACCCCTGCCACTGGGCCCCCATTCGTGTCCCGCCAAGGACGCTCAGCGCGAGGCTCGGCCGGGTAGCGACAACTCCACCAACTCGCACCCTCGCTGTCCTTGTGCAGCTCAAAGTCCCCACGCCCGTGAAGGCGCCTCCATGCGTGTCCACCCTCGCGCGTCTCCGCCAGGGCTGTCTGGGCAGCGCAGCCCTGGCTCCTGGAGGAGTCTGCTCCGGGGCCAGTGCGCACCGGGCCAGCCCAGCCGCCCACCGGCCTTAGCTCCTCACCTGCAGCTCTTTCCTGAACCCTCACCCTTTAGTCGCCCAGAGCGGGCTGCTTTCCCCAACCCTCTGGGTGCCAGGAAGGCGCGCAAACCTCCCCTGGGGATTTGCCCAAAGTGGCGGGGGGCAGGGTTAAAATTTGCTATTGGGAAGAGGACAGGAAGAAAAGAATGTCGTTTGTGTATGTGTGTGTGTGTGTGTGTGTGAGAGAGAGAGAGAGAGACAGAGAGACAGAGAGAGACAGAGACGGGGTGGGGGGAGTGAGAGAGTTGTTTTGCAGCGGGAAATAATAAGCAGGGAAGAGAAACAGGGAGAGGCCGGTGCCCCAGCTCCCCTCCGGGCCTTGGGGAGCCGCGCGCTCCGTAATTCCCTTTCCAGAGCCGTACAGATTTCCACAAACAATGACATCACTCGGGCGCCGCCGGCCTGCTTGCAGCTGGGGGGATTTTCCTGGGCGCGCGGCGGCCGCCGGGGCGGAGCTGCAGGAGCGCGCCGGCTGCTGGGGGGGCGGGGGCGCGGGCTCGCGGCGCCCCCCGCGGGCGGAGGCGGCCGGGCCGGGCCGGGCCGGGGGCGGGCAGGGGCGGGCCCGGGGCGGCCCAGGGCGGAGCCCGCCGCTTCTGCAGCCCTCATTGGCCGCGGGCGGGCGCACGTCAGCCAGGCTGGTGCTCTCCTCCAGCCCCTGGGGAACTGGAGCCGAGGAGGAGCTGAAAATGCAGATTTAGCATCAAGCACAGACGTACACTCGCTCTTTCTCTCCGGTACACACAGCTCCCCACGCTCGCACCCCTGCCAGCGAGCGGGGCCGCCGGGCCACACGGCTCCCTCTCCAGCCAGGCGCTGGAGGAGAACGCACACTTGATTTGCTGCTCCCCAAGCCCCTGTCTCCACACAAAGATTTTAAAGAAAGGCAAAGAAACTATAAATATATATACATATATTTATTTGCACCTTCCCTCCGTGTCCCCCTGCTCCACCAGCCTGCGCGCCTCCGAGCCGCACTTTCCGCTCCCAAAGGAGATGCAGGGTGGTTCTATCTCCCGCTGGCAGGCGGCCGCCGGGCTCCTCTTGTGTGCCACGGTTTTTGCATCCTCCGAGAGAGCAGTCTTCACGAATCATTTTCTTGTGGAGTTGCATAAAGGGGGAGAGGAAGAAGCTCGCCAAGTTGCAGCAGAACACGGCTTTGGAGTCCGAAAGGTAAGCTCTCCCGTGCATTTCGCATGTCGCTGCCGAACGACGGGTAGCCCCTGCGCAATCTCCTTGCAGATTTGCAAGTTTTCTCTTTCTCCTGCGATGCAGATATTCCGCCATCGGCTCTCGAACATGACATAGCCTCCGGTGATCTTTCACGGGTTATGTAATTAAAATGTCCTTCATCTGCACTCGTAAGGTCATCAAAATAATTTATTGCTCTTGGACTTGGTGGCGAAAATAGGGCCAGGTCTTTCAAAGGATGCCCGGCGCCCCCGCCTGCTGTCCAAGGTACCAAGTTCTCCAGGCTGTCTGGGGACGCAGGGATGGAGCCCAGAACAGTGGGGCTTGGCGTCCTCCGCCTCGCCAGGGATCTCTCCCGCACCACCAGGTGAAGGAAGAGTTTCACAACCACCGGGCCCAAAGCTTGGACGGTGCCTCCGCGACCCCGCGCTGGGAGGACTTTCCTCCCAATGACTTCTGTCCCCGCTCTTTTCCGGAGAAAAGCCGCTCCCTCCGGGTATAGGAGACTCCAACGCGTGAAACGGTCTCTTTTCCCAAATCAGGGCGGAACTTCTGCGCCCTCGCCCCCGCCCACGGCCGCCCACTCCCCCAGGAGCGCGCTAGCGGTTGGTTCCCCGGTTCTCCGCTCCTGGCGAGTGTGGACTGCGAGTGGGATTCCCCCACGGATAAGTGGAGGTGTCCCCTCCAGAGGCGTGGGCGGCCAGCCTGGCTTTCCCACAAGAGCGCGGGGATCCCCGTTCCCAGAAGTTGTCAATAGTTCAACTGTTTGAGCAGTTTAGAGATGGCTCCCAGCCCACTATGCCTCCCGGCTCCTGGGCGGACGCCGGGGTACCCACCCTGGGAGGACGGACATTCGGAAGGAGAGCGCTGGCCAGGAGCTGTGGCTGACCTGCCTGCTCTCCCGATGAAATAATCTGTGTCGGGGATCGCGAGTGTCCTTAGGGGACCTGGCCGGGGCTGGGGTGCAGTGGTGGTGAGGGGGCAGAAGCTGGGGCGAGGGGACACCGATGGACCGAGGGGCGCAATTTGAATACGGGGGGGGGGGGGGCTGAGTGGAAGTCGGTGAGATTCCGGGTCCCGAGAGGAGAAGCGGGATTTCAGCGCTGGGTGCTTCTGATGGTTGCTTTCACCCAGAAGGGCCGCACGGTCTGGAGCTCCCATCACCCTCTTCTGTCCGACTTCCCACGCCTCCCTCCCGCCGCTCTCCCGGTCCCCGCCGGCCCCCGCAAGTGCGGCGGGCTCTCCCGCCCGGCTGTGATGTCGGCCCCGAGTGGGCTTGGAGCAGGCGCCGGGTTTGCCTGTGGCGCGCGGGCGGGTCTCGCAGAAGCGAACTTGTTGCTCGCGGGAGGCGTGGGTGGAGCAGAGGAGAGAAGGCGTCCGCGGGGGAAGCAGCCCGCGGCCGCGGCGTCCCAGAGCCTGGGGGCTGCTTCAAGAGCGCCCCCAACACGGTAAAGGAACACACTCTTCCTTCTTCCTCTATCCCAAACTTGGCGAGACCCAGGTCTTAGACACCGGTAGAAACACAGTAGTGATCGTTACTAGCTGACAGCTGTAGAAACATTTATGTGCTGGAGTCCTTACATATGTTCTTACTTGATCTTAACAACTCTGAGCGGGCTACTATGAAGGAGAAAGATGAGGAAATGGGTTCAGACAGAAGCCCAAGGTCAAAATAGGCAAGGATTTAAAACCTGATTTTTCAGAGGAGAAACCGTGTTCTTTTTTTCCGCTTGGTACACAGCAAGCCAGGTGCTGGCAGGTATGCTGGGCGTTAGGATATGCCGAGAACGGATATGGCCTTGAGTGACTTAATTCTTGCGTGTATGGGGTTGCAGCTGGTGCAAAAAATACTTGTGGCCCCCTCTCGTTGCCACCCATCTTCGCCTAGTGTGGGCAAATATTGCCATCGGTCGTTTTATCTCCTCTTTGCTTCTCCCTTTGCAAGTTACCCTTAGAATCAGACCTCAGAAACTTGATCAAATCTTAGTGTAGTTGAGAATGATAATGCCTTAACTTATTAATTCTCTGGGAGATTGTTTACTGGTCCTTGTAGGAACAAGCAGATTAATGAGGAATTCATGGTTTTGAGGATGGGGGTATAGAGACAGCATTTCAATCATTTTGATACACTGATCTTGAAATCCCCTGAAGCTTGTACCTTGGGGTGAAATTAGATAAACAGGCCTCTTTCTCTCCCATTTTTTCTTGGAAAGGAGCCCTCTGCATCATACTCAAATCTGGGAGAATTTTTTTTCCCTGCCATCTATCTCCTCATGTCTCCATAGCCCCACAGGCAGTACCTTTTAGCTAAATTTGGTGAAGTTAACAGTCTGACGAGATACTCTCACCTGATGAGTCTGCAGGGTGCAACTGACACCTGTCAAGATAAACCCTCCGCGGGCACCGCGGCTCAGTAGGCTACTCCTCCGCCTGTGGCACTGAAACCCTGGGTTCTAGTCCCGGTTGGGGTGCCAGATTCTGTCCCGGTTGCTCCTCTTCCAGTCCAGCTCTCTGCTGTGGCCCAGGAGTGCAGTGGAGGATGGCCCAAGTGCTTGGGCCCTGCACCCGCATGGGAGACCAGGAGGAAGAACCTGGCTCCTGGCTTCGGATCAGCACAGCGCTGGCCATGGCAGCCATTTGGGGGTGACCCAATGGAAGGAAGACCTTTCTCTGTCTCTCTCTCACTGTCTAACTCTGCCTGTCAAAAAAAAAAAAAAAAGATAAACCCTCTTCTTCCTCCTTTGGACCCATCTCCTGCCTACCCTTCAAGACCTGGACCCCCAAACCTCCCTTGATTCCTATGGACCAAACTCGTGGGGGACCAACAGAGAAAGTGTGCGCTACAAAAGCTCGCATGCTCCACTGCTCACCTCAGTCATTTCACATACATGAGCAAGTTAGTATAGGTATTACCTCTCCACTGGAAAAGGGAATGTGAGGGGGCTCTCTGGTTTCCTCCCCGGAACTATTACATGACTTTGCTTGCCAGCTGTTAAGGAAACGTCCTTAGCTGTATTTATTAGTCCAGCCTTCCCAAACATTTGTCATTTGTTTTGCATTTCAGACCCCCAATGCGTCCTTCCCTTTCCTTACTCTGACATCGACCAGCATCTCTACTCCTCCTCACCCCCCATGCACCGTGTCAGACACCAAAAACTTGCAGTGATCATTTATTCACCCCTAGGAAGGGTTGGCAATGCAAATCAGGTGAACCCGCTATTTTTCCATATTGCTTTGCGCTAGTCTCAAAAGCCTGTGACAGAAATGACTGCATCACTCCCAGTTCTCAGCTGAAACTCTTACAGCCCCAAGAGGTTAAGTAACTGTTCATATCTGGTAAGTGAAAAAATTCAGATTTAAAATCAAATGCGCTTGACTTAAAGGAGTGTTTCACCTCATCATGCCCCCTCCAGCAAACCTTCCCTGGCTGCTCTGAATGCACCATTTTGGAATTCTGACATTTTAACTTTCTTTTTACTTTTTTCTAGATTTTCCATTTATTTGTTATTAACAAGGGAATATATAGCATTAGGTAATGTTTATGTGTATGTTCTTCTTGAAGTTGGCTACAAATCTTCCCAAGAGAAGAAAGGATAGGTGATGTTTTTATAGCCTCATGTATAATGTTATCTGCATATGAGCTGGTCAATAAATATTTGTTAATTATCTGATTGTTTGATTTGTCCAAGACTATAAACAAAAAACTTTACCTTTCCTCTCTAAAACACAGTAAAAATACCTATAAATTTACCCAAAAATAATATGTGCAGATTGAAGTTTTCTATTTTGTCATGACCTGGCCCTGGACCAAAAAACTCTATGTCCATCAGACAAGAAACATATATTGAGGGAAGTGAGTAAATTTACAAAAATCACAGATTTGTTACTGCAAAGAGTGCCATGAAATCCTCAGTGTGCTACTAATTTTAATTCCACTAAAGCATAAAACAAAAATTATTTGTTGAAGTGTTGTATTGAAAATTGGTCAAAAAATCAATTAAGAATTGGGTCAGTGGCCGGTGTTCTGGTGTAGGGGGTAAAGCCACTATCTGCGATGCTAGCATTTCATATGGCTGCTGGTTCATGTCCCAGCTGCTCCACTTCCCATCCAGCTCCCTGCTAATAGCCTGAGAAAGCAGAGGAAGATGATCCAAGTCCTTGGGCCTCTGCACTCATATGAGAGACCTGGAAGAAGCTCCTGGCTCCTGGCTTCAGCTTGGCCCAGCTCCAGCTGTTGCAGTGGGGAGCAAACCAGCAGATGAAAGATTCTCTCTCTCTCCTTCTTTCTCTAACTCTTCCTTTCAAATAAACAAATAAATCTCTTAAAATTGAGTCAGAAAAAAAAAGTTAAGGCAAAATAAAAACCTGACAATTGGGTGTTTTCATTTTATTGTTGTCAGCTGTATCTCTTTATTTACAGAGGACTGAGCCTGGGATGTTTATACAAGTAAAATCATGTAACCATTTTTGTGTGTGTGCAAATTTTTAAAAATATTTATTTATTTATTTATTTGAAAAGCAGAGTTAGAGAGAGTGAGAGAAAGAGATTGATCTTCCATATGCTGGTTCACTTCCGAAATGTCCATGACAGTTAAGGCTGGGCCACGCCTCCTACAGCTTGTTCCACCCAGGTCTCCTACAGCTTGGCAGGGGTCCAAACACTTGGGCCATCTTCCAGTGCTTTCCCAGGCACATTATCAGGGAACTGGATGGAAAGTGGAGCAGTCAGGACTCAAACCTGCACACATATGGGATGCCAGCTTTAACTGCTGCAACATAATGCTGGCCCCAGGAATCTTTAAACTCTGTAACAGTCCAGTTATAATTGCACTACCAGGTAATGACAGTGAATTTCTGGTCACTTCACTTTTATGGAAGTATAGTATCATTTAGGAAGGAGCTCCGCTGAATAAATTTTCACAAACCACACCCAAGCCAAGAAATAAAATGTTATCAGCGTCCCACAAAGGCCCCCTCTTGCT